TAATATATTTCTCAGAATAAGTCAGTTAAACGAACGTGATTTTTGTCCTATCTTTTAATCTTAATACAGGCTGATTAAGATGGTTTATAGATGTAGTAAGTTATTTTGTTTTGCATACTGAGATGAGATAAATATTTTGCTTATATTACTTTTGCAATTTGATAATTGATAAGAAGTTAGTGAAATTATTCTTGCCTGATAGGTGAATACAAGCTGGCTCAAAATTTGGAGCACTTGACATAGTATTTTTTACTACAGTTGCTTTAGATTATACATAATTTTTATAGTTAACCGTAAAATTTCCATCATGATCATAAGATACTAATGCCAACTTATCCTTTTCTAAGTATCAGTTAGATTGGAAGAAAAGCTCTAGACAAAAGTGATTAATTTTAGCCTCTTCTTGTAATATGAATTGTTTATATTGCCAGATATGAAATTTTCTTCTATCAATATATTTGAGAATTTCTTCTCTTTTTGCATGTTTATTCGAAATGTATTTTCAGAAATACATCTCTTTAAGTGGCTATCTTGATAGTAATTAGCTCTATTAAAACCATTTTCAGGTATGAAAACTAAGGAGTCACATACATTACAATATATGTAATTTGATGGAAGACTATGGACTTTATCATGTTCATATAAATTTTCATACATTGTAATATATCTATTATTAGAAAGAATTCTTTAAGTATTTTTCTAAATGGATCACAGATACAGGAGCATCACATTTCTGGTATTCATGATCATATCGTTCACCTAAAGAACATAATGCTTCTAATATTCTTTATATTTTTTGAAGTTTACATCACTATAGCCTACAGAAACTAGCTTATATTAGTTCTACTATCTAAATCCATAATACTGTTTTAGTAAATTTTAACGATTTTAGTGATTTATAGTGATTTATAGTGATTTATATTAGTTTATAGCAAGTATATTATAATAAAATATCAGATTCATTTTATTTGATTTGTTCAGGTGAAAACAGATATTATAACCCCAATGTCATGATTCGGTTAAATTAGATCCGTTCACCATAGACGGCTAAATTATAAATATCACATATGATCCTTCTTAGTTCCCTGCCAGTTCCTCAAAAGTTCTAGACGCTAGCGAGTTTCTATAAATCACGAAATGATTGGCCAATCAGATTTCAGATTTTTTCTTTAGCCAGATAGTATAATGGAAATTCAGAAAAAATGATTATGAATCAAATGCTGTGCATATGATTAGCTTATTTTTGCCTTCTAGTTCTTCGAATTGCGAGTTGAAAGATTAGAATAATTTTGGTAGGTGCCCTAACTGAAATTTCAGTCATGAGATTTTCAGATCCCATAAGCCCATAATTGATTAAAGCCAAAAAAAAAACATAACAAAATCATCCCGGGTTAGTTATACTAAGCGAGAAAGTGAATTTTTTATTCACATGCATTGTAGATATTTACATATCAATTTCTTAAAAATGTCTGGGTGTAGTAATGTAGTGCAGTAATGTGCAATTTAAGAATTCGCAATATGAATTAGTATTTCCTTTTTGTTATCATGCTTTCTGTCTTCAACTAAATTTTTAGCATTACATGAATTTTACAAATAGGTAGAGAAAAACAAATAGCTATTATTTTCACTAATTTTTTTTAGTCCCATCTCTGCCATTTGGATTTGTATTTTACACTATATAAACTTGAATGTAAAATTATATAAATTTTCTTTTTTTTTTGTAAAAACCCTCCCAATGATTATCACGATCGTTCATAACAATTAGAGGTTAGATATAAAAAATTTTAAACCATCATAATTCAGGTTATTGCAGTAATCATACACAATTTTCCACTCATCTACAAATACTTTATCCCAGAATGAGATAACATGATTCGGGTCTTCAATATTGTTTACAAGTGCTTGTGATATATAATCCTTATTTAAGTGAATGTAAATTGATTGTATAAGAGTGAACAGATCATCTCGATAATCTGTAAAGATTTGTGGATTCCATCTTCCGGCAAAAGTACTGGTGGTTGTTAATCGTATCAGCCTTAAAGATAAAAGTGGCAATCTTGGTCCATTTCCGTACCATTCCTGAAATTTATAAGCTAATGAATGGTGTTGAATTCGCACCTTTCAAGTGTTGAGATATAACTTACCTTGCCCA